CCAAACCAATAGCGGCCGCTGTTGGGCAGGCGGCCGTCTGTCTCAAATGTACACAGGCCGCGGCGACACCGACAGCGCGTCCTCTTCAAAATGAACAGGGACTGCTGTTGGGCATTGCACCCATTCTTTCCGTACCCATTTCGTTCGTGCCGATGGCAGATGGCCGGGCACCCTCTCGAAGAGGCCCCCTCCTGCCTTGCCCGGCCCCCTCCCCTGCGCGCGGTCCGCAGGCGTGGGCGCACCCGGCCCTCCGCCAGGGCAGCCACTCCGCCAGGCGCAGGGCCCCCGGCCGCCGCAGCTTGTTGTGCGAGAGCGCCAGCCGCCGCAGGGGCCCGCCGTCCAGCAGCAGGGGGCCGATCGAGTCGACCTGGCGAGCCCGCGGTGGATAGACTCGCGTCTGTGGCGAAGCGCACGAGGCTGGCTGAAAAATTCTGGAATTTGCGTAACGGGACCCTCTCGACACCTGCAACAGTTAAACGACGCGGACAAGGTTTCAACGACGCCCCCGTGGGCGGCCCAATGCGCACGCGCCTCGGGCACGGCCCCAGGGTGCGCTTATCCCAGGAAGTCCAAAGACGCGCGTCTACCCAGCCCTCGGCCTCCGCCTTCCGGGCCTCCCCCGCGGCAGGTGCCACCCCAGAGTCCCGACGCCGTGATTTTTGTGTCACGACATCGACCCCTGGACCCCTTCCAGGGGGCCGACTTTGTCATCCCGAGTCGTTGTTTGACGGTCCCGAGGCCCAGAAGGGCCCCCGGAGGCCGAAAATGGCGAAAAACCTCCCGTCGCAATTTTTGCACAGCGGCGCGGCCGCGGCGGCCGCCCAAGCCGCCGCTGCGGCCTCGGCGGCGGCCGCCGTGGCGGCGGCCGCGACGGCGACTCCCGCGCGGCAGATCTGCCGCGCGGCAGGGTGCCGAGAAATTGGAGGTCGCGGGGGGCGGGTCCCGACAGTCCGGAGGAACCGTGCCTCTGGCCGTCGAGCGGCGCCCCCACGACGGAGGCGCACCACGACGGGCGCCGCGCGCCGCTCCAGCGCTGTGAGATTCTCTCTGTCGCTCGCCGTGCGGTGTCTGCTCAAGGATCGGGAAAGCGTGCAGTCGACCCGTATCATCAGGGTGCACGATGCGGACGCAGGGGCCTTGGAGGGCCATTTCGCAGTTTTTCGGGCGGGGCGCGGCCAGCGAAAGCGGCCAAGGGTGGACCGATGGGGGCGAGGGTGCAAGGGCACCCATGGGAACACTGCCCGTCCTTACCATGCGGGCCAGCTGTAAGCTCTGGGCACGCCGGAGCCCTGGCATTCGTCGAGTCGTAAGAAAATCATCGGGGCGGGAGGCTTTTCTCTATCCTTGGGCCTTGGGGGCCCGATCGGGCTCGGCGCCCAGGAGCCATCCTCGGGGCCCTGGGCCATCACGGAACAGGCCCGCGGCGAAAAAAAACGGGGGCTGGGGAAGGGGTCAGCGACGGGCGTCCAGCCCATTGCTGAGCTCTCGGGCCTCCACCTTCAAGCCTGTTCCGCGACCGCGGGACCGACAGAACAAAGCTCCAGGTCAGATCTACGAAATATCTGGGTCGGGAGTTACAGCGCCCCTCGCACCCCTCGGTTGCTTTTTAAATGAATTCGGCGTCCGGACCCACTCGGCTCCCAACTGGTGCCTTGGCCGAACCCGCTCGGCTGCCAGGCGGACAATGTTCCCACCACCTTGTTGGATTTGATCCCATTCGGCCTCAAATTCTGTGGCCGAGCTGGCTCAGACCCCGAACGGGCTCTCGCACAAACCCTGGAGTAAACACCCCGCTCGCGCTAGCAGGGGAACAGCTCTCCGTCACCAAAGAAGCACAACCCAATGTGCGCGAACTGGGCTCGCCGATCGACAATTCATTCTCTCTTTCTCTCTCTCGCTCTTGCTTTTGCCCTGGTAGCTTGTCGCTTGCGGCTTCTGATCGTAGTACAAACCAAGAACACTCCATAAGAAAACTCTGACAACAAGGGAAAAGGAACCCGACGGCGCCTCCCTGACTCGCCGGGTCCAGCAGTCGTTCCGCCGCAGACTTCCTCACAATTCTCCAAACAGTGCCCCCACTTAGGGTTTTCCTTCTGTTCCAGGGAATCGGACCTGTCTGTCGGTCTGGCGGCTATGTTGCCGCCGTCGCCCCCCCTTCGCCATCTCGTCGCCGCCCGACGTCTGGGCCTGTCGGTCGGTCTGGCGGATACGTTGCCGCCGCCGACGCCACGTCGCCGCCCTATATTTCCCTTTTTAAGCGGGTACTGGGATCCCTCCAGAATTAAAGGTCCCCCTTTCCGTACTGCAATTTGCCCATGATTCTGCCCCATCGTCCATCCTAAAATATGAGCTCATCGCCCCTCCCCCCATCCACTGCAAAACAAACTATGCGCGCGCACTCGGTTATCAAAAATCAAAGAATTTACAATCCCTTGCAAATTATCCCGGCAAAGCAACCTATCAGCGATGTGTAGGAGCATATCTGGAAGCATTCCCCTTAAGATTCAGATGGGAATCCAGTTGTAGAATTCTGCTGTTCTCGCAGTCGTAGTCGCATTCGCGATGACAGTCGCAGTGGCAACGGCAGTCGCAGTCACAGCCTCAGCCTGCCTCAGCCTCAGCCTCAGCCAGCCTCAGCCTCAGCATCAGTCTGCCTTCAGCCTCGGCCTCAGCATCAGCCTGCCTCAGCCTCACCCTGCATCAGCCTCAGCCTCAGCCTCAGCCTGCCTCAGCATCAGCTTCAGCCTGCCTCTGCCTCAGCCTCAGCCTGCCTCTGCCTCAGCCTCAGCCTCAGCCTGCTTCAGCCTCAGCCTCAGTCTGCCGTCGGCCTCGGCCTCAGCCTGCCTCAGCCTCAGCCTGCATCAGCCTTAGCCTCAGCCTCAGCCTGCCTCAGCCTCAGCCTCAGCCTCAGCCTGCCTCAGCCTCAGCCTGCCTCAGCCTCAGCCTCAGCCTCAGCCTCAGCCTCAGCCTCAGCCTGCTTCAGCCTCAGCCTGCTTCAGCCTCCAGGGCGGGAGGCCCTGCATCTCGCCTCAGCCGAAGCTGCCTCAGCCTGAGCCTTCTGCCTCAGCCTCCAGCCCAAGCCTCACCCTGCCTCAGCCTCAGCCCCCGCCAGCCTCAGCCTCAGCCTCAGTCTGCCCTCAAGCCTGGGCTCGGGCCTCAGCCCTGCCTCAGCCTCACCCTGCATCAGCCTCAGCCTCAGCCTCAGCCTGCCTCAGCATCAGCCTGCCTCAGCCTCAGCCTCAGCCTGCCTCTGCCTCAGCCTCAGCCTGCTTCAGCCTCAGCCTCAGTCGCCTTCAGCCTCGGCCTCAGCCTCAGCCTGCCTCAGCCTCAGCCTGCATCAGCCTCAGCCTCAGCCTCATCCTGCCTCAGCATCAGCCTGCCTCAGCCTCAGCCTCAGCCTGCCTCAGCCTCAGCCTCAGCCTGCTTCAGCCTCAGCCTCAGTCTGCCTTCAGCCTCGGCGTCAGCCTCAGGCTGCCTCAGCCTCAGCCTGCTCAGCCTCAGCCTCAGCCTCAGCCTCAGCCTGCTTCAGCCTCAGCCACAATCTGCCTTCAGCCTCGGCCTCAGCACAGCCGCCTCAGCTCAGCCTGCATCAGCCTCAGACCTCAGCCTGCCTCAGCCTCACCCTGCCTCAGCCTCAGCCTCAACCTCAGCCTCAGCCCATTTCAGCCTCAGCCTCAGTCTGCCTTCAGCCTCAGCCTGCCTCAGCCTCAGCCTGCATCTGCCTCAGCCTCACCTCAGCCTGCCTCAGCCATCAGCCTCAGCCTCAGCCTCAGCCACCTCACCTCAGCCTCAGCCTCAGCCTGCTCAGCCTCAGCCTCAGTCTGCCTTCACCTCGGCCTTAGCCTCCTCAGCCTCAGCCTGCATCATCCTCAGCCTCAGCCTCAGCCTGCCTCAGCATCAGCCTGCTCCCCTCAGCCTCTCGCCTGCCTCAGCCTCAGCCTCAGCCTGCTTCAGCCTCAGCCTCAGTCTGCCTTCAGCCTCGGCCTCAGCCTCAGCCTGCCTCAGCCTCAGCCTGCCTCAGCCTCAGCATCAGCCTGCCTCAGCATTCAAAATGTGGCCCGGGAATGGAGTTCTGAGAACTCGAAAAACACGTAGTGGCCTACAGTTGGCTCCGAGCATTCAAAATGTTGCCCAGGAATGGAGTTCTGGGAATTCGAAGACCACGAAGTGGCCTGCAGTTGGCTCTGGGCGTTCAAAATCATGCCCAGGAACGGAATTCTGGGAACTCGAAGACCACGAAGTGGCCTACAGTTGGCTCCGGGCGTTCAAAATCATGCCCAGGAATGGAGTTCTGGGAATTCGAAAACCACGAAGTGGCCTACAGTTGGCTCCGGGCATTCAAAATCATGCCCAGGAGTGGAGTTCTGGGACCTCGAAGACCACGAAGTGTGTAATTGTTTGCTTAAAACGACTTCCGCGGCTTCTCCCCGGCACCCACCCAGACCCCCCTGGGGAGTCAAGATGTTCTCTTTTGACACTACTGGAAACCTATCAGTCTTCGCTTTTAGGTAAAAGCGGGACGAAGTGCACACGCCCGCGTCGTCGCGCGCGCAAGCCGAAATCCTTGAACAAACCTAAACTTTCGTCAGGATTCCAAAGTCGAGTGTCCCGGACAAATATTAAACACATGGTTTCACAACAAGGGCTTCCAAACAACGCTTGCGCTCGGGCCCTTGCGAATTCTCAAGAAATCATGCGTTTTTCGATCTTTTATAACTTGCTACCAATCAAGCCTCTCGCGCGCGCATGTCGGAATCGTTCGAAAACCCTTGCGCGCGTGCTGTCGCAAGAACCCCCTGCAACTGATGGGGCGAAGTGCACACGCGCGCGTCGTCGCGCGCGCATGCCAGAATCCTTCAAGAACCGAAGGTTTCGTAAGGATTTGAAAATCGAGTGTCCCGAATAAATATAAGAACGCATGGTTTCGCACCAGCATTTTTCAAACATGCCTGTGCTCGCGCTTCTGCGACTTCTTAAGAACACCGTGCTTTTTCATCAAGTCATCGGTTTTTACTCGCACAAGTTACGAATCAAATCATGATGTCTGAAATATAAATAAATGTAACCCACGAGACTTGCTCGCACACACGCAATCGGATCCAATGATATCCTTGGTTTTTCAAGCGAGAGGAACGAAATCCCACCATTCTACTGGGGGGAGGTGGTTTTGGGCGTTTCCACTTCCAAATTTCCAATCCAAACCCTCTCCCTACCCGCTCCCCTGGGGTCTGCCCCCCCTTCACCAGACCACCCCCCTCCCCCCCTCCCCCCCTCCCCCGCATGCGGTACTAACTTCAACCCGCCGGGAATCATCCCAAACAGCTGTTACATTTTCCAACCAGCTCGAAAAGACAAGCTGGTACTAAT